GGTCAATGGGGTCCCATCTGGGTCGCCAAATTGTTGTCCCCAAAGGACAGTGCGAGTTCGTGCCCGGTGCGCTTTTGACAATAAACACATGGGTGGAGGATCCAACTTAATCTTTATTGTTTCAACTCTGCGCAGAGAGGGGTGTTTGGCGATCGTTTGCAAAGCAAGCACCACCCCCTTTGGCTTGCTTCAGCCTTATATAGCTTTCTCCCACTTAACACACTGTACCGTTACTATTGGCTGCCTTCTCTTAGCCCATGCTCATATTACCTTAGCCACAGAACATATCCGTACTTGTCTGGGCTTGCCTATGTTGCGTTTCTTTCCCAGCAGGCAAGCATTCCTTAACATACATATACCACACCCCTCCCAGCACCAGCAAGCTGCCTTAAGTATTCAGTTAGATATAATTTGCAAAAGCTAGATATACCATAAAAAAGACTACATCACTCCTCCCTGCAGCCGCACCACCTGGATGAGTTGCTCACGGCTCTGTCCCGCACCCTGCTCCGCCCCGGCTGGGCACCATCTGCCCTAGCCCCACTCCTTCCCTCGCCATGAGGGCCTCAATCTACCCACTCCTACCCCCCACAGAGTTACCGGCTGGATGCTGCTCTCCAAGCTGCTGGGCTGCATATCAGCAATTGGATCAGTATCAGCCAATGTGCCTGGTTAATAATTGGCTATTGGTATTGGCCAAAAAAATCTTTATCGGCGCACTCTTAATGTATACCCTTATACATAAAGGGATGACAAAACGTACATTTTAACTGCTTTTAAAGGGGAAGGGGAGCTGTTCTAGGTAAGTACTATCTGTTAGGTTTTAACTCTTTCATTTGTATGATCCTGTGGCAGTGCATCTGAGAGAAATCACCCTGAATGATTCAGAGCTAAAGTTGGAGTGGTTTTCCTGTGTTTGTATTGCTACAGAATCCCCTAGAAATAAGGATTGCATTGTTAACAGCTTTTACTGTACCATTTGATACTGATACAGTTGTTACATCTATTTATAACTTCAGAAAATGTTATAGGCTTCCAAGCAATTAGTCTTTCAGACATAACATTTTATTAAAAAAGTTAAGCTGTTTTGTACTGCGTGCACTTAAATTTAAGTTGATTTTTCTTTTTTTTTTCTTTTCTTGTCCATAGGAGCTCAAATGGGATCAAGTGATGGTCATACAGTGAGTGTTCAGCCATGTGCACTGGGAGAGTCTCATGGAGGATCTAATGGAATTCAGCAGCAAGGTATTATTCAGCAAGTAAAATGTTTACAGAGAATTTGCAAATTCTTGTAGTTAAAATTCTCAAAATACCTTGCATTGATTATTTTGCTGACAGCAACAGTTTCAAGATTGAGCTGGCTCAGTTGTCTTTGTCAAAACTATAATTTATAATTATCTTAATTTAGGGATATCTGTTCTTTGAGATTTTAAGCTTCAAACACAAACAGCTGTTTCCACAGTCAAGTATGGGAGAATAGTAGCTTCATTATTTAGTGGGTTGAAAGATGGTATTTTACTGTCATCTTTGGAAAGATCCCAGCATAAAAATTAAAGGTTATTTAAAAGATATTTTTAAGGTAAAAATATACCTCCTAGATCATTAGAACTGCAAGGTAGTAGAGGAAATAAATACCGGTTCTTGACCTTGTGTGTTTGATAGGAACTTGTTTAGGGCTGTGCAAAACAGGCCTTATTCAATTTGGTTTGTCCCAAATCAGGGACAGTGATTCAATATGTTGATTCGGATCATTGTCCCCGACTTGATTCGGCCAAATCCAAATCTGAAGATTCGGTGCTGCTTCGGAGAATCAGCAATTTGGACACAGGCACAACTTTAAAAGTGTTTTGTTTCTACATACCTTGAGCCTAGCCGGCATGGCTCACTGGGGCAGATGGAGCATCCCACAGGAGCATGGTGGGGTTCTCCAGCATGATCGGCAGCAAACCCAGAAGCGGACCAAAAGTACTTCTGGTCCGCTGCCAGGGAGTGCGCTGGGGGCCCCCCATGCCCTTCTGGCTTGGCAGTCGGCTGCAGGGGAACCCCGGGTGCCCCCCCAGACCCAGGAGGCACCAGTTGCCAAGCTGGAGGGTGCAGGGGGGTAGACCAGAAAATGGACTGGAAGTGCTTCTGGTCCACTTCTGGATCTGCTGCCGTGTGTGCTGGGGAGCCCCCTGTACTTCTGAGGGACACTCCATGCGCCCCAGCATTGCAGTGTTCACGAGCCCCTGCTACCTAGAGGTATGTAGAAAAAAATTTTAAAGCTGTATCTACATCCGAATTGCTGAATCTCTCCAAATCGATTTGGAGGGTTCTGAATCAATTTGGAGAGATTAAAGGGTCTTCTGATTCGATTTAGATTTGGAGACTTGGCCACTGAATCTCTGCCAAATCGAATCGGGGACTGAAGCTTCACACAGCCCTATTGTGTATAGCCAGTTTCCTGTGTCCATGTCTTAAAATGACAATCAGAGTTGCCATCAGTTGAGATTGTAATGAGAAGCCAGTAGGTTGACTGGTAGGCACTTAAACTGGACTCCACTCTGATTTCTGAGAGGCATCCAGAACATACCTGAAGTACAATGGTTCGGCAGAACAGGAACACGTACTCTTGCTTCTGATTGTATGTGTTTGATTGATAAAGAATTCAAAACTTGAGGGCTTTCAGTTGGGTAACTTGCACAGATCATATAATGTGTCTTTTGCCAAATTTCCTTTTTTTCTTCCATGTTCAAGAAGCCAACCCCTATCATATTAGAGCAGGGGTGGGCAAAATGTGGCCCGCAGGTTGGATGTGGCCTGCCAGGCCATTCTATCTGGCCCGTGGGGCCCCTAAAAAATTTAGAAAATTTACTATAAACCTGCTCCTGGCTGCCTGCCATGCAGCCCTCAATGGCTTGCCAAAACTTAGTAAGCGGCCCTCCACCCAAAATAATTGCCCACCCCTGTATTAGAGGGATAGAAATAGGAGAAGACTAGCCAGTGCCAAAACTAATATTTCTGTTCGCTTTAGCGAAGTTGCGTGTATATGCAATGTGCAACAGATCATTTTACTAACTGTGTTTTGTGCTGAGGGAATTTACTGCTCAGACTTTTGTTTTTTTCTGCAAGCAAGAGCATTTATTAGGAATTATTCTTGGTTGCATAGTTGCATAGTAGGTAGGGTCGGAAGGGACCTGAGCAGATCATCAAGTCCGACCCCCTGCCATGGTAATAAGGGTAGGGGTTTGTTGAGGTTTTGCTCCCCTTTTCTATGCAAGAGGTTAATTGACACAATTATGTCCCATACTTGATCTGATTATAGATCAACTGTACAAAAAAGTAGACCTACCTTTTTTTATGCTTCCACTTTTTGACAGGAAAAAATGTTCAATTATTAATGGAACGGTGTTGTGAATAATATGAAAATACAGTGCATATTTAGGATCACTTCCATTCTCCCCCCCCCCCCCCCCCTTTTTTTTTAACAGGTTACTTTCAAGCAAGCAGTATTTTGCATTTTCCTCATGGAGACGATCAGCAATCACATTTGCTGCAACAAGGTAACATTTTAAGAAATGTCATTATAGTTGCATAAAAAAGCTGATTTATTATGTTTTCATAAAGGCAAAATAGATTCTTAAGTTAGGTGTTGTTTAATTTGACAGGAAGAACATCTCTCAGCAGTGGTATAAGTGCAGGAAAGCGTCCAAATCCAGAAGAAGAAACCCAGAGCATTGGACCAAAAGTCCAGCGACAAAGCACTAATTAAAATGGTGAGAAATGAGTACTGTGAAGTATCTTGCTATTTTAAATAAATTATTTGTGTGTGAAAATGTTGCATCTGAATGTTTGTAATATAGTATCTCTAAGCTATTGTTATTGATCAAGACACTTCTTTGCTAAATGCTGTACAAACCAAATAACACAAAGGTTAAGCATAAGACAGGAGGCAAGAGATAAAAGCCAGGGGTGGGCAGTTATTTTGGGTGGAGGGCTGTTTAAAGAGTTTTAGTGAGCTGTCAAGGGTTGCATGGGTAGCCCCACCCTCTGACAGTTGCCTTGTCTCCTGGTTGTCCTCTTGTGACCAAAAGTCCTGCCCCTAACCCCTGACCTTTTGTGCTGGAAATATTCCCGGGGGGGGGCAGGCAGGGGTGGTGCCATCTTGAAACTGGGGGGAAAAAAACCAAATCATATACTAAACAAAATCAAACATCTACTATAACTTTTAATTTTATTTAAGAAAATATTTTTGTCCCAATTTGTGTGTTTGCATAGTATATCTAGAGGCGATTGCATAGTAACTCAACATGCACTCTTACTCTTGTGTATCGTGTGTGTGTTTTGGGGGGTAAGGAGGTGTATGTGAGGGCTGTGTGGTTGGGGATTGAGTGTGGGGGGATGTCACAGGGCACTAAGGTGCCTGCTCCTTTAAGGACAGAAACTGCCTAGGGAGAGGGCCCTAGCAGCCAGGCAGAAACCCTACAGGTGCAAGTTACTGTAGTGGCAGGCTAATGAGGGAATTAACCTGCACCCGGTCAGCTGACCGGAAGAAGGCAAGGCCCTGGGCACACATAAACCCCAGGGCTGGGATCAGAGAGTTAGTTTTCTGGCAGCAGCCAGGGGAAGGAGCCTCCAGAGGAGAATTGCCCAGAGATGCTTTGGCTGCCTGATACGCTGCATATAGGGCTAATGGGGCTCTAGCCGCTCACCAGGTACCTTGGCCTACAAGGCACTTAGTGCTTGGGGGGGCAGTTTGACTCTTTTAAACGGACAGAGCGCACCCTAAACTGCTTGTATTATGTTATAGTCTAGGGGCTCATATTTTGGTTGCTGTTTATAAACAGTGGACCAGGCTGAGGCTATTGGGGGAGGAGGAGGCCTCACTGGGGGCCCACTACAGTGTGGAGACCCCAGTGCCATGGGGCACAGTGACAAAGGGGCTGCAGAGAGCCCAGCACCAGTGTGGGCGCAGAGACAGGGCTGCAGAGAGCCCGGTGATAACAAGAGGCTGAGCTGAACAAGGCCCCAGAGAGGCAACTTTTAGATATCATCTGCGAGGCTTGGGGCAGTAAAGGGGTGGTTTTGGAGTCATGCATCTAGCCCATAAGGCTGTGGGTGCCCCATGAGGCAACCATTTTGAACAGGACCCAAAAGGGGTCCAAGAATCCATGGGGTTTAGTGGGGTCCATCAAGACTGTGTCCAACCACAAATTCAAGGGCAGCCTCCCTATTTATTTTAATTACTAACAAGACATGGCAGGAGATGAAAAGGGTGCCTGTTGGGCAAGACTGGCACAACCAGGGAGCCCTAGGGGCATCACAGCCATCCCTGGGGACCCCATCCTGTGACAGGGAATGTGTATGTGGGGTATGTGGCTGGGCTAGGGGTGTGGGAGCTGTGGGAGGGTGTCGGTGTGGTGGATGGTGTCTGGGAGGGTGTCTGTATGTGGTTATGGTTGGGGGGTGGAATTGTGTGTGGGGGCCATGGGAGGGTGTGGGTCTGTTGGGGGTATGGTGGGAGGTGGGGAGCCAGCTGTGCCTGTCCCAGCTTGGATGCAGCATGCAGTTCCCAGTTGCAAGACTGGGACCCATATGGTATGGCCTGGGGCCAGCCTGGCCCAGCCTAGTACAGTGCGGTTCCAGCTGCAGTGTCAGGGACCGCATGGCATGGCACCAAACCAGCCCTAGCCTGGCCCAGCTGTGGTTCATGGGTCCCATCTGCAAGGCCAGGATCCACACAGTGTGGCATGGGGCCAGCCCAGCCCAGCTGGTCCAGTCTGTGCTGTGCTACCTGGGAACCATGTGGTGCAGCTTGGTGCCAGCTCAGTTTGGCCCATCCCATCCTGGCAGCACACAGTTTCCCACTGCAAAGCTGGGACCCACACAGCACGGTACAGAGGCAATGGGAGGGGCTGGGTTGGCTCTGTGCTACTCCATGTGGTCCCCAGCCTTGCAGCTGGTTGTACCATGCTGGGCTGTGGGCCAGCAGAGCTGTTCAGCTTCCCTTGCCTCCAGGTGCAGCTGCCACTGCTTCTGCCTGTGTGGGTGGGTGGGCAGGAAATTGCAGCGGGGGGCTCCTGCCCAGCATGTTGAGCTCCAGCTCCAGATCCCAGCCGCTTTCCACCCGCTCTGACCACCCGGCTTGATGAGCAGCCCCTGCAGGCAGGCAGAGCAAGTGGAAGGTGGCCAGGAGCTACAGCTGGAACTCCATGCACTGGGCAGGGGCCTCC